GTGGTTTCAACCTGCTGGGAAAAGGCTGAGAATTAGAAACTGTCAATAAATTAGGATTAAAGGACAAAAAAAATACACTTATTCCTGGGAAGGGGAGTACATTTAGAAGACAAAAACCCCCTAACAATAGCTATCTGACTTCTGAAGCAGGCACTGAAAATGCTGTTTCCTGTTAAATTATCTCAAAAGTAGAAGACTGCTTCTTCACAGCATTGCCTGCTTAATTGCTGCTGCTTCATCCTCTGACTGCATATCTGTAGGGAAAATCCTTTCTAAGGTTTAGCAATACTAGATTTTCAGAGTGCATTATTTCCACTGCAGCCTCCAGAGTCATGTTTTATATAAATAGCATAAAACAAGTTTAGATAAACAAAAAACCAAATCCATTAAAAAATTTAAATTGAAACCCATTAGGGAGGGAAACCCAGAGTCTGATGAGAGATTATGGATTTCTCCTGGCAGTGAATAATGTCACAATTTTGACTTAGATTTTTTTATGGCAAAAAGCCTCCAAGGGGAAGAGTGTATGTTTATAACTAGCAATTGTGTTATGTTAGACACAGACCAATGTGAATTAAAATAAACGGAGAATAGCAGCAAAGAGGAAATAAGCTATGCATAGCTCCAAAATTTGTATTTTAGCTTAGAAGAATCACCCTTAATTCAAAATACTAAACACACCGAGCCTCAGGTCTGAAAGAGTTTCAGAGGTTACACTGTGATCTTAGCACAGCTGAGAGTAAAAGGTTTGAACAGACCCCACATGCCCGAACTTCTGCAGCTGTAGCAGCAAGCAGAGAGCGTGTGCACTGAACCCCCTCCTCCCTCGATACAGAACAACTCCCAGCTCCTCCCTGCTGGGCTACCAGCAGCCAAGAGAGGCAGGAGCCAAAGGGACCAGCACCCCTTTCCCAGGGTGATGCAAGCCAGGAAGATGATCTACTGTTCCTGGGCCTCCACACAGGAGTGTGTACTGGCTCAGAACTCCCTGAACTGAGCCAGCTTGCAGGCAGAGCAAGCAGGCTACTGGCACACACAAAAACAGCAGCCAGAATTTCTCTTTGGATGATCTTTAGTCCACAGACTTCTGTTTCCTTTGGGGATGTAAAGAGAGACATTAAAGGCAGGGGATCTGTTGCATGGCAGTGCTCAGTAACTGCTGACAGAGCCCAGGGAGCCTCGCTGGAGAGGGCCAGATCCTGCAAGAACGATAAAATACAAATGGGTACAAACAAATGTTTTCCATAAATTATAGTCGTAAGTAAGGTCTTCTCTTCTGAGACAAATGCTTCCAGCTTTCTGAACTCAACTATTATTTTCAGAATTGAGTAAGGACTATGGGAGGTTTAGTGCAAGAAATGCAGTGAGTTCAGTTTACCTATTCAGTGACCAAGTTTTCCATCACAGCATTGTTATATTGATTGTCCTCCCAATGCTTTGTTTAAACACTAATGGATCAGTCATGATCTGCAATGTACATTTACACAGAAGTGTTTTGCTATTTCTCCGTTCCAGTCTATAAATAGTCTCCAGGACTCTTCATCAGACACCAGATATAAATAGACCAGTTTTTTGTAAACAAGCACATACCCTGATCTGAAAAGTAACATTTACTGCTTTTATGTTATTTGAAGTTTCTAATTATTGCAATAGGCAGTAAGTCAGAAGGCTGATGTAAAATTCTGTCTTCTGTCCAGCTTAGGAACTGGGCAAACATCAATGTGGTAAATACTGATAGTACTTGATCAAAGGAGTTTGTGCCGGGGAGAACTCAGTGTACTTCTTATGAGCACTCTCCTTCCTGCCCTTCCCAAATCCTGAAAACATTTGCAGCTCCAATTCTCTCTCAAAAAAAGGGGAAAAAAGGTCTTGTGAAAAGTCACAGATCATCATCACGTGATGTTCATAGTAGTTTCTGAAGCAGAATACTGTGGATATCAGATGCAGCTGGAAGAAATACAACTGATTTTAATTACAGCATTATTCTAGGAGCAAAATCTAGAGTCCAGAGGGCACACAGGTCCTTGATCTTTGACCTGCAGCCTTATCCTCCTGTGAATCTGCCATCTCTGCAGTAATTAACACACTTGGAAGTCTGCATCATCTGTGACGTATGTTTAAGTTCATTGCAGCTGCATGAGGCCCATCATCTGAGCCTTTCACTCTTCCATTCCTGCAAGCCTTTCACTCTTTGCCAAGCAACTGAAATACACAGGCCTTTAAAGTATTCAGAGGTCTTCAATTTAAGCAGCAAGTATTGAAAACACTAGAAATCCCTGCCGTGGAGGTCTCCATTTGCTCTGTAGGACACCACACAAACAACCATCACAAGCTGTGGTTTGCATTCTGAGCAGCAACAATCAATCACTGAATAGCAAGTTACGAGGCACTGTTTGACAGCAGCTTCAAAACCAGCTAAATTACTATAGCCAGAGCTACTAAAAGCTGCACTCAGCAGTAGGAGATACTTCCAGGGAATAGGGGGGAAAAATATATTAGGGGAAAAAAGAGCTAACTGGTAAGATTAGAGAGGAATCACACAGTAACAACACCTCATATACATATAAGTTCAAATGTATTTAAATTTGTGAATGCAACTGTTCTACAATATCTGCTCTGATTTTCACAAGAACAAGCAACTATAAAAACCTGCAATCAAAAGTGCAATAAGAGCAAACATGAAGAGTGCCACAGGCAAACTTGCACTGTTGCACAAGGGCTGGCTGGATAGAAACACCTTTAGTACATTGTTTGCCTTGGGGCACCAGCTAAATAAGCTCATTTGGTTTCTTGAATGCTGTTTTTGTTGCAGGACAGTAATGGATCAGTGAATAAGTGATAACAAATGATGTGACTCCAGGATGTCAAACTGCCCCACGGCAAAGTGGCTTTAAACTTCCTCTTCATGTGACTGGATTAACACTCAGGCCCACATGAAAGTTTAGCTCACAAGTTTACTTTTATCCACGGGTTCAAATGTTTTTAAAAAAAGAGACTTTGACTTTCTCAGGGAGAGTTTAGGAAGCTAACCTGCCTCTTCCAGCAAAATCATCCTATGAGAACCAGAGGGGAATTTTTCTCTCTTCCATCTCAGAGACCACAGCTATCCTTCTCCACTTAGTCCCCTTTATTTTCTAATTTCTACCAAACTCATTCACATCCTCCTGCATTTTCATCTTTCTTGAGGTCCCTTGAGCAGCCCTGTGAAAGCTACAAAAGGAATGCAGAACAATTCCACGTGTGGATGTGATAGACCAAGCTGAGCTGTACTTTGCTTAGTTTGGCAGATATTCACAGCATTATAAAAACTGTTTTCGCAAACAAATATTCAGTTTGCAAAAGTCTCTCTCCCCCACAAGCCAAGAAAAAGACTGTCAGCACATCATTCTGCAGTGACTGAGTAACTGAAAAATACTTAAGATCCTTGGATATTCCCCTGTATGAAAGCACTTGAGAAGTTGCTGCTTAGCATTTAGCTGCAAAACCTGCAGGGCTTCTGTGGATAAAAAGTCTTTCCCGCGCAGCTTATTACAGATGTTTTGTAACGGTAATATTAAGTAGGGTCAAACTACTTAATTTTTTTTCTACTTGGTATGTCAGATATAGGGTTAATGAGCAGAGAATTTTTGACAGAAAAAAATTTAGACCACTCTGTCCTCATGGAAAATAACAGTAAATTCTTGTAGAAATTACCAGCTGAAAGGCAGGTGTTGAACACTTGCTCTTATTGCCTTCTTAAAAGACCAAGTTCCATTCAAAGAGCCCAAAATAACATGAAGATGTTGGCCAGTCATCTATTTCTTTTTCATATATTTATATTTGTAGCTCCTAATACACCTCAGATAATAAAGTTTTGAACAAGAACCAAGTTCCACTTGCTACCTTATCCATCCTTTTATTCCCCAGCTTCCAGCAGCTGAGAAGCTGACAGCCAGTAGCTCCCCTTCCTGCAGGATCTGGCCCTCTCCAGCGAGGCTCCCTGGGCTCTGTCAGCAGTTACTGAGCACTGCCATGCAACAGATCCCCTGCCTTTAATGTCTCTCTTTACATCCCCAAAATACTTCGAATTTACCTACCATGAAGGAATGGGTGGACTAAAGATCATCCAAAGAGAAATTCTGGCTGCTGTTTTTGTGTGTGCCAGTAGCCTGCTTGCTCTGCCTGCAAGCTGGCTCAGTTCGGGAGTTCAGGGAGTTCTGAGCCAGTACACGCTCCTGTGTGTGAATCAGGCACAGACCTGTCAGAGCCCACACCTTCCTGTGCATAGAGAACTGGACAGGACCCACTTCTGCAACTCACCTTCCGCTGGGCCACTGCTTGGAGGTCACAGCAGCAACATGCTGCTTCTTGTTACGTAACAATTTCATTAGGTAATACCCTGCTAGATCAAAAACAGTTCATGCTTATCCAAAAACCTGGATTTCTGGACAGCACCCTGAGAGAGTACCTCCTGAAAGAACTAAAGAACAGAGCTCTCTTTCAGGAAAATTGAAAGCAGTATTTGACCTGAGTTTCCAGATTCTTGGGGATCCACAGCTGCTTCTGAGGGTCCTGAGAAGGCAACTATAGAAAGAAAGTTGTCTGGCCAGTGTTCAAGAATGTTTATGCACACCATGCAAGAGTTTCCACTACTACAGGAAATTTTTACTGGATCCGCAAATCCTATTTGGAAACCACAGATTTAAAACATATCCTCCAGTAAACAAGAGTTTTACTGTTAAATATACCCAGGAAGTTTCTCAATATCTTTTTCTCAGCCTGCTCGGTTTCTTTGGAGGTAGAATTCTTGTCACTCTTCCTATCAGGGAAAGGTATTTTGATACAATCCACACCATCATTACAACACACAACAGAGGTATATTCATTGTGGGCAGTAAATATGGGGGGGGCAGTTTCCTCACAGTTGAACTGCCACCAGCATACTGTCCATAGCAAAAGGAGAAAGAAAAAGCCCTACATGAGAAAAATTGAGGGCAATAAAGAAATGCGGTAACACTTACGGTCAAGTCCGTTGATGTATCTCATTGTAATTTCACAGTGCCCCCAAACTGCACTGACTATGGGGTAAAGTTTTTTCCCTTTTAGTCCCCTGAAGGCCACTCCAAGATACTGTCCATCGACCATGAAGCTAAGCGTCCCTTCATCCATATCCAAAACCACCAGCAAGGAGTCTGGGAGTACAAAAGACTCATCTGGTTCCAAAAAGACAGGGTACGTGAGCCCAGGCTGGTTTTTACAGTTGTGGTAGAGTTTGTTGCGCCCCAGATCCCAGCCCCAGGATTCACTATTGCTACCAACCAAGGACGTGTATCCCACCGAGTGCAGTGGCGCGTCGGCCGTGGAGACGCCCACCACGGCGTGAGTCCCCCGCTGCCTCGTGGGCCAGTGGATCTGCCACACGTGCAGGCCCCGCGTGTAGCCCACCTTGCCCCGGATGCAATCTGTGCTTTGGGCCACCGGGTGTCTGTGAAAAGTCAGTTTATCGTCCTCCTTTACAAATATATTTAACGAGCGATCTTCGTTATTCCAAGCGTGTTTGTACTGGACCTCCAGCTTGGCAGGGGGCATATCCAACAGCATGTCCAGGCGCGCGGGCTTGCAGAAATCCGGGCCTCTCAGCTCTCGTTTCACGGGTCTATAAGGGGGCTCCCTCACATCCACAGACTTTATGCTCCCTGAGATTTTCTGGCCCATTGCTTGGCTGCAGGTTTACAAAGGAGAAAGAGAAGTTGACTTTGGCCCAACGTCACCTCATGAAAGCACCGTTACACTGAGCCAGTGACCTGACAAGCTGACTGGATTTACTTCTCCGGTTTGGAGTTTTTTAGCAGCAATGTTTTCAGAGTAAAAAATGCTCCTGAAAGAAAGCAGAAAGTTTCCAGTTAGTTTAAGAAAGCCAACAGAAAACCCACAGCATATTTTTGAAGCGCTTCTTCTCATCCCTGGGAGCTATTTTAAACACCAGAGCTAAATTCACTCCTCCTTGTGCAGTGTCCTGCAGTGCTAACCGGGCTGCCAGCAGGATGTGGAGCCCACCAGTGCACGGAGCACAGACAGTCATTTCCTCCAATTCATGATAGGATGCAGACATTCCCCACCTTCTGCCCTTCCACCTATTTTGTCTGGCCAAGTCCACAGCAGGCGTGAAGCAGGCAGATGCTGTTCCCCAACAACAGTGATAAACTTTATGTCCAGTGGCAGCTGCACTTTCACTTGTGCTTTTGGTTCAGTCTCAGACACAGACTCAGCCAGAATCTTTTATTTCCAGACATGCTCTGTCCTGGGCCCTGGTGACAGACTTCAGCTTCTTTGCCCTCATTAGAACAATTGCAGCCAACGGCAGCAAAATTGAAGTGTTTCTTTTTAACTTACCCTGGCATTAAATAAAAGGACAAAAATTCATCAATATTTTGTTTGTTTTCTTTTATAAAGGAGCTAAAAAAAAAAAAAAAAAAAGAGGGAATCGGGAAAAGGAGCCATGCATGGAAGGGCAAATGAAGGAATGCAGGTTTTAGTTCTTTGGCAGACATTTCTAATGGGCAGCTACTGCAACTGAGGATGTTCCCGATGTTAATGGACAGCAGGTTAATCCACAGTTCCTATATTTCACTATTCAGCTGACCTGGAACACAGTAAGACACATTATGGGGAATACATGATTTTGAAATGTATTATTTCTCTGCTTCCACAGACAAACAGGGCAAAAAGAGCACCAAGAAAAGCTTCCCTGCAGCCTGGATAAGTTAGATTTGTTCACATTTTAGAGCTCAGGTAGAATGCAGAGATAAATCAAGAATCTCTAAAAGTACTAAAGGAATAAAAATGAAGACAAAGTCCTATAAACTCAAATAGGTGATGGACATGGCATCTAACAGAGTATCTGCAGCAGCAGACACACTTCTGTCCTCCTGCAGAACCAGTGCCAAGTCCAGGAATGCTCCAATATAGCAGAGTAGACCCACTCTGTTTATTTATTGACAGAGTGATGATGTGCTTCAAGAAGCAAAAAATCTCCACACTTTCAAAAGAGCCCAGGTGACAGTTGGTTGTCATAAAATACAGAAAAAACAGCAGATGGGCAGAAATGTTCTTGCAAAAAAACATCCTGCAAGATTTCACTTGCTAAGTCAAGCCAATGTTCTTCCTTCTAAAGAACTTCTACTCCAAACACACGGTCTCATTCCAAAGATAATTTCTGAAAGAAGATAAGAAACATGTATGCACAATAAAAGGAAACAAAAAGAAGTTTAGGGAAAAAAACCCTGTAAAATTTACCATCCAACCAAGTTTGAGAAGTGAATGAAGTCCTCTTAATATTTCCAATGGCAAATAACACGTATTTTTTGCATGTATTAAATACAGAAATTAAACCCCATCTATGTTATATGAAATTCTTCTTAAAAATGAAAAAAAAATAAAAGAAGTACAAAGGTGATTTTTCAAAACCACGTGAGAGTTAAGTTACTACAGGAGAATATTTTCTAGTGGTTGATTCCCACAAGGGCATATGCACGCATGTCAGTGTAAAAGAACCAACTCATAGCAACTACTTTCAATGTTTGAAAATAAAACAATATACATAAGTATCCAACCCCCTCATATCACATTTGCAGGAAGACTCACAAGCCACCAGAGTTCTCCATTTGAGGTCAACTTGAATGATCCCCCTTATTCCTTTCCAAACCATGTAAGAGGAATCTAAAACTTTAAACAGCAATTACATTTAGGTTGATGCTTCCCATTTCCAGTAGTACAGAAGCACTCATGGGTTGTTTCAAAGCTTGGTTTGATTGGTTGATGCCAATTTGGCCCAGCAAAGCAAGTTCAGTACTTTATTCCACACCTATAATCCCAGGAGAAATTAAATAGTGACACTAATACACACACACAGGGAGGCAACAGGAGTAAATGTTGTAAGCAGGAGAATACATGCTCAGGGATTGGGTAGTTCCTTTTAAACAGTGATTATTTGAGCTTGAAAGGAAATGAAAAGGGAGAATGTCAGACTTTCAAAGGGAACTTCAGTGATTTAGATTTGAGATTTAGCTCTGCATGCCTTTGAAAATTTCTACTTTAAAGCACAAGGCAATTGCCACATTCCTGTCAGGGTGCTGAAGGGAGACAGCCAGGGAAGTCCTCAGTGCATCCTGCTGTATCACTTCCTGATCACATGAGAAACTAAACTTGGCACAGATGTTTGCCTGGCAAATAACCAAGAAATTATAAACACTGAATTGACTTGCTTGGCAAGCCACAGACATTCTTCCTCGTGTGCCCCAAACTGTAGCATAAATAGGCTGCTAATAGATCAGTAATTCAGAGGAGTAAAATGCATCATTATGAGTACCTTGATATACACACAACCATTCCTGCACTCTGGGATGCCCTCAGTAAGTACTTTGATTTGAAACTGTATCTTACAATAGTAGGTCTTTCATCACACATTAACATTACCACATTATTTAAATTAATTTTATAATGGAATATTTTGCCAAATAGCTTTGTATGGACATAGTATGGAACAGTGGAAAAATCTTTCATTTAGGCAGCTCTGGTTGCTGGAGCTGAGAAGCAGCTGACTGAAGACTTTGTGAGGAGCAGCCTTGCCCCAGGCAGCAGCAATGTGAGCTCCACAGGAGACAACTCATCCACAAAGCCCTCGTGGGGCTCACAGCAGTCCCCTCGGGTGCTTGCAGGAACAATGTGTTCCAAAGGCCAGATCATCTATTGCCTTGCCTGTGTCCTGTCCTTTTACACCAAGCAGATGGCAGAGACCTGGCTGAGGCACAGAAGAGCAGGGAAGGACCACTTTGCCCTCCACCCTTTCAGGAGTTGCTGTTGGAGGGACACAGCTGATAGGGCCCAGCCTGTCTCCACCAACAAAATCCTTCCTACTCCCACAGGTCACACACTTGCAGCACAGAAACCCTAGGAAACTCATATGCTTTCCCCACTACTGCTATGGGGATCTGCAGGCAGCTTCTCCTCCCAGCAGCAGCTGTGGGAAAGTCATGCACATTCCCACAGAGGGAAGGGGAGTGACAAACAATTCATCTGGCAAAGGTACCCCAGACCGGCTTCCTGCCTGCAGCACTGGATGAATACACAGCATTACCAAAAAGCTGTGGGTTAGGGACAAAAGATTATTCCTGTCAGACTCATTAGTGTTCAACCCATTTACAGAAATATTTGGTTATAAAACCTTCTTACCGTCTCCTGATTTAATAAAAACTTGTCAAAACCAGTGTCATTTGACTGCTCTTTTTGCAGTCTTTCACCTGGTAGAGAAACTTAGATTTCCTTGCCTAAATCTTCTCACCAGATACATAAATATTCAGAAATAGAAAGAACATTAACTTCCACTGTATAGCTTTGCTTTGATGGTTTTCCCAAATCTTTGCTCTTCCAGTAATTTCAAACCACTACAGGAGTTAAAAAACAATAAAATATTTCAAACTGGCTTAATATATGACCTCTCCATTACACTGGTTAGTAACTAAGACTAAATTTCACCACTTACCCCTGTGTGAGAGGAGTGTTAGACTTTGCAGTCTAAGTAATTTCTGTGTCACAGTTTCCAATTCATGCCAAGCTTTGTCAGGCTACAATGATTAGAGTAAATGTACTGTACAGGAACAATACAACTCCAAACCGGAAAAGTGTGTCAGTGTCACTTAGCAGCGTCTTCATTCAGACTGCTAAAATATTTTGGGAAATTATTCACAATAAAACCACCAATTACTACAGAAAGGCTTGCTGGGACATCACTTTGCTGTAATTAAATAGGGTGCATTTCTTAAGTTTGGTATGCTGGCATCAGTAGAACACAACTGATAAAAGAAACACGCTTTCAGCAAAGACAGCTTTCAGCATTCATAGCTGTATTTCCCACTGGATCACAAGCTAGACATGCAGGGAGCTTGGCAAACATGCATAAGAAATAACACAAACTCAATTCAAAACTACATTAGGAACACACTAAGCCTCAGGTTAATCCCCCTAAAATAACACTTACCCAAAGAGTGAGAAGCAGAAGGTGAGGCCCTGCTAATGGCACTGACCAGTGAAAGAGGCCATCAGAAAAAGCAGGGAAGGAGATGCCTCTACCCAACAGCATTGCCAATGTCTACAGAGCAGTTCTCACTCTTTCCGCTATTGGCCCTCATTCCTTTTTTTTCTTCCTGTAGCCAGACCCCAGTGCCACCTCCCCTGCCAACGTGGGCTTTGTCACCAGCCAGCAAGGACTCCTGAGTGCCAAGAGAGGCAGCAGGAGGCTCTGAACCAAGGCCACTCCTTTGTGGGCACCAAAACTGCTCCTTCCCCAGATGCCTGAACAGAACAGACACAGTGTCTGAACACTCTGTATGTAACTCCAGTCCCAAAGTCCCTACAGAAGGAATAGGAAGAAGGAAAACACATGATAGATGTCGTGCTGGGCAAATCGATGAAAAGGGTTTTTATATGTTCAAGGACAAGGACTTTTACCCCCACCCAGACAATGCAAAGGCACAAGGCCCAGCGTCTATCAACTTTGTTCCCAGTGTGCAAACAGCTACATAACCATGACAACACTGTTTTGAGGGTGATAATGAATTAAGCACATTTTTGGCACTTAAAAAGACTGGGTAGCTTGGATTCAACTATAGATCCTGGTATCCAACATTGTTCAAAATGGGCAGTAAATCAACAATGCTGGCCTCCTTTGTCAAACTGGGAATATGCAATAACAACGCAACCAGACAAAAATGCTTGGCTATTCTAAGCCATCCTGCGCTACAGACAAAATCTGATGCTGCATGCACACTTAGCAAGTGACATTTAATATGTGGGATGAACACAGCAGTAAGTCATGACTTC